ACTGTGAAAGCTTTTCATGTTCTTTTCTTAGTTTCTAATAGGAGGATCATGAGAGGTGCACCACTTCCTATACTTTTAAAGTAGAAAGTAATTGGAGAACATCTTAGGAAGAAATACGTGTACTTTGGGAATGGCCCCTCTAAGACAAGCTGTTAGATGGAGTCTAAAGAACTGCCTAATCCTAGATTGATGGTCCCTTTTTCCTTGATGTTAGATTTTCAAACTCCCACTTATAATTACAGCAACACCCTCTAAAGTTGGAATTCCCACCAGGAAAATCAAAGCTTCCTGAGCAGCTCAGACTTTAGTATCCAAAGTGGCAGCTAAGGCACGTGGGATGTTGTGAAATTAGGCAGTTTAAACTATTCATTTGTACTTCTGATGGTTGTATATGATTAAAGCACACATGCCATTTGCTCCTTAGTCTTTAAAAGCAGAAAAAGGACAAAACATTTCTTCTCCTTGATTGACTTTAGTCACTTTGAATTCTTATGTGTCTGAATGATGCAATAAAAATAAGCAATTGCTATTAGCATGCAGAGTCCAAAGCAGCAGGTCAATAAGCACTAACAGCGATCATCCAACTCATGGTCAACATTACCAGCTCAACTAAAAGAATTTTCAGCTGAGCTACTTCACTAATTCAGAGATATGGGTTTTTGTTGTTTGTTTCTTGTGTCCTAGTATCTCTGAAACTAGCCACCTCCAAAACGTAAAGTCATTGATTGTTAAAGCCAATCAATGAATCAACTTAGGTTTTCTATCCTTTTTAATATGCTCAGCTGTTTTGACCTTGCATGATTTTAAAGATCATTTATCTGGTCACATTGCTATTTTGCCCCATGTTGTGACTTCCACCTATAGCTGAAACGAACACAATCTGGATCATTACCAAATTTTTAAGAAATGAGGTGAACCTTTGGTATTTCCTTAAAATCCTTTTGTAAGTTTCTAAATAAGGCACAGCATGTGTCTGAAGCCTCTGGTGTTTGTTCTGCTCTCACATTCACCATTCACCATTCACTCTGCACTCTGCTTTCTTCTTTGATCAGTACACCTTTATACTTGTCAGGGTATCTTTAGTAAAATTCTTCTGGACTGTTTTGAATCCGATGCTGAAGTTGTCAATAATCACTACCGCCACCCTTTGGTTTAGAGGGGAACTGCTTGTTCCGCCAAAAATAATGATGTGAATCATCACCAAAATGTAAGTGATTGTTCCTTGGACTGGGTTGCACATTTAAAAAAAATGTTATTAAAATCTGTCGATAAATGTTCTGGTTATCCTGTAGATAACAGACAGACAAACAAACCATGAAACACAAACTAAACTAAAACCATAATTTCCTTGGCAGAGGTAATCATGCAGGGCTTCTCAACTCTAACTAGATTTTAACTGTAACCAATATCTTGTTCAGATGAGAAGAAGATGAAAGTCCATCTATAAACACTCAGATGGCACTGCCATATAGCAATGTATGGATTTGGAAAAAAAACCAATTCATTCCCACTTCTACGTATGGTGGAAAATTGTGATGGTGTGGGACTGTTTCTTTTTCTCCTTTTCATCCAGGGAAGCAAGTTAGAGATTTTTCAGACTCCATGGTAACAAACACTAATAGAACATCACTGGGTATGTCAAAAGAAAATAAACCTTTGGTCAAATCAGCAGATCAGTTGTTCAACCTTCTTCCATTGGAAGCTTGGAGGATGATATTAAATTAGAGGACTCTGGAAGATCTGGATGAGTTGGAAAAAAGTAGGGGTGCCACTACTGTAAGTGTCTCCATGGTAATTTCATATATAACATATATCCATCCATCCATCCATCTTCCTCCGCTTATCCGGGGTCAGGTCACGGGGGCAACAGCTTAAGAAGGGAGGCCCAGACTTCCCTCCCCCCAGCCACTTCTTCCAGCTCTTCAGGAGGAACCCCAAGGCGTTCCCTCCAACATATAATTTACACTAAATAAATTTATTAAAATAAAAAAGTAGTAATTTTCTTCTATTTTAGACAGTAATTGCAATTATATAAGGGGTCATGAAATTTCTTAAGGTATTCTTCATAAATTTTGTTTTTGCGTTTTGGAGACAATCAATACAGAAAGTTATATACTTGATATAGAATTAGGATGTCAGACTCATACAAAGATATCAGTTTGGTATACCACTCTAGTAATCGTGTAGGGGTGTGTTTGTGGTGCACACTGAGAATTCATACGGCATATATGCTGTTGGCACATTCAGCTGACCTTTACGGTGGAACAGACAAAAGAGAAGATTCTGAACTAGCGAAGGTTTTGGATAAGGTGAGCGGCACACTGGAGACTTCTTTGAAGTAGTAAGAGGTCAACGTCAGCATCACCCTAAAACTGGATAAAATGCATATAAAAAAGGTCGGCTCTTCATTGGCAATTACTTTTGAGCTAAGAAAAAGTAGAAAAAAATGTTCGTTATCTGAAACAACCATGAACATTTTTGTAATGATTATTTTCAGTAATAAAATCTAATTTTTTATTTATCTGAACTTATTTTTCCCTCACAGTCAGTTCAGTGTTTTTTTTTTTTGTTTTTTTCTTGCATGGCAGCAGAAAAATGTACCATCTAAGGGACAACAGTTTGTTAGATAAACTGTTCTGATGCAAATTTAAATGAATCCACCAAATTCCTCAACAGAATTTGTGCAAACAGATAGCTAGTTGATCTTAAAGATTACTGAGAGTTAAATTTGGTTTTCAGCTTTTTTCTTTGTGGATTGATTATTTAATAAAATATAAGATTATTTAAGCCCAGCGGGGCTGGTACAGGGCCCGTCTGACACCTGCCCATGTTTATCTATTTATAGAAATGGCTAAACCACTGTCACATGGTGTTTCATCCACACACTTTTCAAATTAGGCTTTAAAATTTCTGAAACATGTTTCAAAATTATTTCTTCACAAATACTTTTTGTTTTATAGCTGTATAAACAAATAAAATGAGATTTAAAATTCCACCTGACATGTGACTCTGCGGGACTAATGCAACAGCAGGTATTCATTTTAAGCCACACCCCCTAATGGCCAGCATCATTGGAAACTAGAGACTCAGACCTTTCCAAGGAGGGGTCGGAGGTAATTGTGCAACTATTTCAGGTGATGTAACCGGCATACGTTACATAATCTTGCTGATATTCTGATTTTCTATTTAGTTTTGTGTTATAATATTGGTAGATTTCAATAAAACAATAGCTAAATCTTAGGAGCAAAGGCTTTGCCTTATGCAGAAGGTCTCCAATAATGTAAATCAGCATATTTGTCTGACCAGATTCACTTTTATGAGTGGGAAAAAATGCATTTGGCACAATTTGGTCACCAAAATCACATTTCCGCCTAGCACTCTACCCACTAAAACCTTTGTGGAATAAACATGCTTCAACTTCCTAAAACCCTCTGGGCTAAAAAAAGGATTACTTATTAAGATCAATATGTTTTTTTGTTAAATTAATTGCATTTTTTTCTGTAGAATGTTAATGTAGAATAAAGGACTGATCTTTTGAAAGTTCTTAAACCATTTAACTGCCTTATGAAATTTTCTCATGGAAATATAACAACCAGCAACAACATATTGATATTTATCACTCTATTCGATTAAATATGTATTCAAAATGTTTTGCAACTTTAAATTGTGACTGATGTTTTTTGAAGGACTTACCAATGAAGCTTGTGTCACGGAGCAGTTTATAAACTAAAGCCTCAGCTTCTTGTATTAAAAGGTTAAATGAAGCTGTAATCAACTTCAGCCCCATACTGCTGCAATGATAAACAAATTCCTCTGAATACCCTATGACTCAGTTTGTGGTCTTTTTCAAGCCATTTTGTTCCAACATGCCCATTTACAGAAAACAAAAACACATTTTTAATCATCACACACGAGAGAGGAAACATCTTACCAAAAGGAGGACAAAACTGTTTAGTTTTGTGGGTTTTTTTTCTTGATGTTGATACTTTTGGCAATAAAGTGTCTCTGGAATAGGGAGGCAAAGTTACCCCTCTGAGCCCTGAATGCTCTACTCCCAGAATCACCCAGAGGATCTCCATCTCAGTAACTTTGTAGAAATTCTTGCAGGAACCTTCTTTTATCAGGTTAACACCTGCATTTTTCTTATCAACAGCCATAAAACATCACAAAAGCTAAAATGAGCTGAAATGATAAAATGACAGGCCAGGCTAGAGAAGAATTCATCGCAGCTTGTGACTGTTGAGGAGCTGCAGACGTCCACAGCTCAGGAGGGAGAATTCAATTGTTCAAAACTGCAGGATGCAGCACTGGTATGTGGATGAAATGTTTTTTAACTGAATGCAAAAAAAACAATGTGTGGTGGAAAACTTCTTTCCATCAATCTGTATATAAGTCCTATTGTCCCATATGGTGGTGGATGCACCATGATGTGGGAAAGACATCTGTTGATGGATGCAAACGGCTTAAGCCTGGTTTGTTTTATGGAGGGATAAAAATCCAAAGCATATTTATGTTTCTGAACTGCCTAATCTTAGTTCAGACATAAATGTATTTGAGAAGATTTAAAAAACAGATGTTCGCAGATGCTTTTTTTCTAACTAACATGGAGCGATTTTCTAAGAAAAACAGGCAAAAAAGTAAAAGTTGTGGAAAGTTACTGAAAAAATTTCATTAAAAAAATGCAGCTGTGATTCCAGTTAAAGGTTGATCTATAAAGTGTTTTTTTTTTAGTTCACATTAGCCTGTGTTGGTTTATCAAATACAACCTCAACAAAAAAATAAATATATATTTTGTTGTAACATAATGAAATGTGGAAACATTTAACAGGTATAATTACTTGAGTTACTGAGTAACACAATGTTCTACCTGAATAAGAAAGAGGAGAACACCAAACATTTCGCAATACGTGTTAAACTAGTTCCACCCCATTTTGAAACCAAATAATACACAGACACGGCAGGTTTGTAACAATAAACTATTTTTTTTTTTCATATTTACATTTGTACCTAATGTGCAAATCAATAATTTAAAGTAGTGTAAAACTCTCAAAGGAATACAAAATCATGTCTTACAGTCCTAATAAGGTGGGAGTCCATGAACTGGTCACAGAGAACAGGGGAGCAACACTGCAGTGTGTACAGGAGAGAGACAGAAGCAAACCCAGGGAGCAGTGGACATCCTTGGCCAGGACACACTTTGTTAAGGACAGCATGGCACATTATCCAAGCATCACCAGGACAAACAGCAACACAAACACTGCATCTTTACAGTAGTCATGTCAAATGAGCAGAAAGCACTTAGAGGCTGCAGGTTATCTTTAGTATTATTATTTTTTTCTAATCTCTCTTAAAAATCCCACTGATTGGTTAAAGCACTGAAGATCACAAAGGCTTGAGGTGCTCATAGCAGCAGGTGCTTTTTTTTTTTAAACGGCCTCTGGATGCGGAAGAAGAACAACCTCACACTAACCTGGTGACTTTTTTTTTTCTTTCTTTTGTTCTTTAATGTTTCACCTGCAGGTCACCATGTACCGCAGTGCTGTTAGCATGATTGCACATCGTGTTGTGTGGGAACGGGCGTGTGGGGGCAATAACGCTTCAGACAAAAAAAAAAAAGCAAAAAAACATCCGCCGACTGTCACGACTCAGAGTTTGTCTCATCTAAACACATTTATAGAGCAGATCTGTCAACAGGCAACTAAGAGAAACACCACGGCCACTGCATATTTGAGAAGCAGTTGTAAAGTGTTTGGCACAGAACAAGTTGAAAATTTGGACTGTAAATATTAGTTGGGTTTTCCTTTGTAAAGAAGCCAGCTTGGCAGTGCTTGTAGATTTTAGGATACGTGCATAAATGTGAAATATGGTATTACAAAATATTATGATTCCAATTCTGACACAGAAACCCCTTCAACATGAAAAAAGCAAAAGTACACACAACAAATGAGAGATAAACATGTCATCCTAATCCAACAGTACAGTCTAAAACTCGTACACATGTTTAATTTCTGTATTTCAAATTCGTTTACAAAAAGTACACTGTGACGTTCTTTTACGGGTCACACAAGACACAGTTAACCTACAGTATCCATATTATTGGTGCATAGACAAAACCGGGAGAGTGTAGCAAAGAATTACCAATTTATTGCTTTAAAGTCTAATATTAACCCCCCCGTTAAACTTCTTTTGATTGCAAAACAACTACAAATATCCCACGGAGAACCAGGCAGAGGTATTGCATTCAACTGATTAAAAGAGCTAAAATGTCCCTTCCTGATGAGATGCAAATCCTTTTGCACTTTGAAAAATAAAGAGCTTTCCTGCACATAAATTTACATCACAGAGATAAACTTTTACTCTAAAACAAGTAAAAGACTAATTTGATGGGACAGAAGTAAAAAGAACTAAAAAAAAAAAAAAAAAAAAAAAAAAAAAGAACCTAAAATCTGGCCAAAGCTGCTCACTGTATCAAGTTCTGCTTCCCTCGTTGTGGGGTAACAAGGAAGCGGGGACAGGAAAGCGCGAGCATCACTCAATTTACTCAGAGAACGTTCACGATCGTGTTTCTTTTTTAAATGCAGAGTGCAGATGGTGTTGTTCCCTCAGGTCTCCTGCGGCCGCGTTAATGGTGAACTTAGCAGTGATGGCTATGCAGGCCTATGGCCTTTGACCTCCCTCTCCCTGCGCTTCAGCTCCTCCCTGTAGCAGTAGGAACAGTAGTTGTCCGTCTCCGGCCTCCCGTAGAAAGAGCAGTTCTCTCTCTTGCAGCGGCGCTGCTGAAAGCAGTACAAAGGGCTCCCGGAGCTTCGCCCTTTGTTTTTTTCTTGGCCGAGCCAGCTGTGAGGCATACTGTCCTCGTCGGCGAACTCGAGGCAGTCCTGAATGTCTCCCGCGTTGAATCCATTGGTGTATGTGTGGGACTTGTGTTCGCCGGGCATATTGTAGGAAAGGGTCTCCATGGTGTTGACTGTGCGGACCCCTGACAGGCGTGCAGGGCTGTAGCTCTGGGAGGAGAGCGTGCGGTTCTGCTGGGGGTAGGTGGCGCATGTCTTTAAGGTGCCCACCACTGGCTTGAAGGGCTCGTTTTGGAAGATGGAGGATTGCATGTTGACATCTTGTAAATGAATCACGCTGTGCCTCTGGATGGGTGGCGTATGGCTGTAGTGGGCGGACACAGGGATGGGTCCGGTTCTTTTAGCACCGATGCTGGGCGAGGAGTAAGGCGCAGGGGCTGGGACAGGGGTTGGATGGGAGACGTGATGTGAGCTTGGGGGAGGGGTTAGAGGAGGGACCTGGACAGAAGAGAGGTTTGCTGAAGGTACAGGACTGTTTCTGCCCTGCATCTTGAGACTCAGCAGGGGCGGTGGGTTGTTGTAGGTGTGGTGGGGCAGGATGGGAGAGCAGCTCTCCGGAGGAGAGCTATCGGACCTCTCCCTCTGGAAGACGCTCTCATGCTCCATCTTCTTTATTGATACCTCAGTGGTGACGGGAGGCTTCTTCTCGGCCTCCTTCCTCTTCTGCTCCTGCTCCTGGCTAAAGCGCTCCTCTGCATTTGTCAGATAGTAACTGATCATCTCCTCATGGAACTGGTGTCTATGGCTGGTCAGCAGTAGCCCCGCAAATATAAATTTGCGCTCCCCCTGCATGGCAGCCCGCAGGATGTTAAGGCTGAGCTTGACATCTGTGCTGTATTTCCAGTTTTCCAAGGATTTGTCCCCTGAGCTTCGCCCAGTGCTGTCCTGTCTTTCGGTTGGGGAGGAGCTGGATGGCCTGTCTCCCTCTGTAGGCGATGGACTTGTGGCTTTTTCGGAGGAAGTGGAGCTGGTTGAATGGCCTGAATCTTCCTTGCCTCCTTTGGTTGTCTTTGACTCCTTCTTCTTTGACTTTTCTCCTCCATTTTCTCCAGTACGACCTGAGCCAGAGTTTGACTTGTTCATTTTTCCATGCACAAGTCCTCCCAAACCTCCCATGTTCTTCTTCAGTTTGATACCGAGTGTTTTGCTAAAGCTTCCTAATCTGTTAGCAACAGAATCAGTTCGACTTTTGTCCTTGTCCTTGCGCTGCTTGTCTTTGTCCTTTTCTTTGCTGGACTTGCCCGTGTTTATGTTGGAGTTGCTGCCGACAGACTCGCGGTCTGATTCCATGGACTCAGCCAGAGACTGGACATCCTCACCTGCAGAGGCTGTTGGAGACTCTGGCTGAGCCAGGGGAGCCTGTGAAAAAGACGCAAAAAAAAAAAAAACTTTTAGAAAAGGAAACTACAGATTCTCAATAAGGGATACTCATATCACCCTATTTTATGTAATGCAGCCAAACACATTCAAATGGAAACAAAAGGATATAACGTTTTCTTTTTTTTTCTTTTTTTTTTTTTTACAATTGTTGTAATAAAGGTTTTGTGGTGCCACTGTATTCACTATACCAAGCTTTATTTTACGACTCCCCTGTATTTAACATTATAATTGAACGTTATTGATCTCACACTAGAGAAATCCACCTCTGCATTTTAACCCATCTCCTTGGGGAGCGGTGGGCTTCCATTGTGCTGCGCCCGGGGAGCAGTTTGGGGTTAAGGGTCTTGCTCAGGGACCCGGGGCAGTCTACGGGAGTGATATGTGCTTCAAATATTTCCACAACCTTACTGAAAACTTGTTTGTCCTGTTTCATGTTCTCCCTGATGCTTTTTGTTTTCTACTGTGCCAACAAACCTTTACAGGTCAGCTGGATTCATGCTAAGCTTACGCACAGGTTTATTTGATCAATTAAGTGATTTAAAAGTGTCTGTTCACACTGGATTTTATTTAGGGAGTATCAGAGAAAATACTCTTCATACAATTAAAACATACAGAATGAATTGTATATTGACAATGCATAGTTGAGGATATATTTTAGATAAGGTCAAAATATCTGGCTCTCCACATATGGAATGAAATACATTCTTAATCTATAATGTCAACAATTTGTAGACACAACTAAAAAGAGAAAAAAAACATTGCATTGCAGATGCATTGATAGTTTTTCTCTTTCAGTCTGATACCAATAGTTGGGCTGTGCCTACTGGCGATACTAATCCAAACGTAGAATTGAAGTAACTAGATCGCTGCAACTGTAATAATGTGTTTAATATTAATGACTAAAGAAATGAATGGCTCAGAATGCTGGATTGGCTTCAGTCATACAATATTCAGTCAAGCAAATTAGTCCATATCAGTGCAGATATCTGATCCTGGTATTAGATTGGTACCTCTCTAATCTAATCATTTCATTTGGTTAAGAATGGTTATTGCAACCATCTGCTAAAATAGTACTTGCTGTCTTCTTTTTTGGGTAAAATGGAGAGACAAAGCTTTTATTGGTTTCCCCACTGTTTAACTTGCCATTAAATGTATTTTCAGAAGTTAGTTCTTTTAGTGTACAGCCCATGGGACCATATTATGCAGACAGATTAAAAGTAAAAATATTCTAAACCTTTTCTTTGTGCACGATCTAAAGTTTGACCTTTGACCCAAAGGCTACTCAGTTTTAAAAAAGGAAAGTATCTCAGCAAATAAAACCTGACTGTGCCAAAATGATCCTAGGCACTTCCGATTTGTCACAGTTTCAATACAACTGTGAAACTGGCTCAACTATAAAATATTTCTTACGGCACATAATTAGCTTTTTTTTTTACAGGCTACAATAATATCAAGCTTGATTCAACTTTACAAAGGACTTTTAAATAGGACCCTAATAAAAGCCTTCAAGTTTTTAAATCATTGCAAGGCCGTGCAAAAAGAACAGTAAAGACCTAATGCAGACATCTAAAACATAGTTTGCAATTGAACTAATTTTCTGTTTTTTATTTCTCATACCCTCAAATGTGAGAGATCACCACAGTCTGACACCAACTAAAAATGATCAATAGGACTCTAGGGGTTTAAGAAACATCTGGAAGAAGGGTGTCTCTCAAAAGCTAATTTAACCATGACAAACATGACACACATGTGAGAAATGGACAACAAAAAAGCCCAAACCCTCACCCTTGTTTCAGAGGGGATTCGGATCCATGTTACATTCATGTAGTTGTGCAGCAGGTTGAGTTTGGCCTCCAGAGACAAGATCAGACTGCAGAGGAATATACATAAACATGTTTTAAAAGAAGAAAACACATTCACATGTGACAAAACTCCATATAACTCTATTATCGTAAATCGTGAGGAACTAAAAGAACAAATATGTTGAGCTATATGAATAAAATCTGCATTGCACTGGTGAAAATCCATGGAGACGAGGATAAAAGGTTAATTTAGCATCTTTTTTATGCTTTCTGAGGACACCTCTTAAATGGGGTTCTTGGCTCAGATCCTTTGCTCTTATCGATATCTATTTTAAACAACCTAAAGCAAGAGTCCATAATCCCTGTTAAATTCCACCACCCAGCATGTGCAGAGCTGATGGCTGCACTGACAGACTGATCATAACTGGGACTTCATTAACAGTGAGAGTGTCTGTGTGCACTACTGAGAAATATCACATGTTTAGGACCTACTTGGCTAGTTTGGTGTTATCGTTGTCGTCTCTTCCCCACTCCCAGTCTGTGCCAGGATCTACGGCAAAATGAAGTGCCAGCAGCTTGTGCTCGGAGTCTGTCAGAGGGATAACAGCTGGAAAAGGGACATAAAAGCCTCATTAGTCGGATCCACCTTAATCTACGGAGGCAAGGCTGCATGATGCTGTTTCTCACATGAAAATGCGGCACAAAAGTACAGTATTTTTACATTTTTAGCCCTAAATCTGAAAAACACCTCAAATATATAGAAAATCTACTGGCTGGAATTCAAGCCTTGATGAATTCAAGCCATTTATGAACAGCTAAATCCAGAGTTTCTGCTCTTTTTTCACGTCGAATTCTGTAGTATTTCCCATTTCCTCATTCTTTAGATACTAATTTCAACTTCAACTCAATTGGATTTTAACCCAGTTTTGAAAATTTAATGCAAAAGTTCACTATAAATGTGAAGCAGATATTTAGACTGGCCAGATGGACGGATGGAAATATATCTATTTAACCTACGAACAAAAAAAGATACATCCTTAAATTCCAGAAGACTAAAAACACATTAAAACATAGTACATAAATCTAATTCCATTGTTTTTAAGATTTTTATAGACTAAACAGAAATCCCATAAACCTAAGTTAAATAATGACCAGGTTATGCAATACTTCTGTGAAGCTTTAGAGCAAAGTTGACAAAGATAGATCAGCTGAACACTACGGAAACCCACAGGTGCACACTTTAACGGAGAAGCAGGACAATAGATCTCAGACAGTTAGAGAATTTTTTTAATTAACCGAGTTACACTTGTTGATTTGGAGTTTATTCCTGCCTAAACCTGTGAACTATAGAGTGTTTTATGTTCCGGTGGGTTTTATGATATTTCTTCAGTTTTGTACTTTCTGTTGTTGTTTAACTTCCGCTTCATAGATTTACAGTAAAGCTTGCCTTTAATTTGTTTAGTGACAGATCAGGATCAGAAGCAGTTATAAAGGTTAAAATGTGTAGAATTTTGTTGCTCTTTTCACCCTGGATATAAAAAAATGACAAAATTGCTTAAAAAAAAACAAAAAACTAACTTAATCTGATTCGCTACACTACTGACTTGCAGCATGTGGGTTATAAGCACCAATCACAGTACTGAAAACAAAACTGACCCACATCCAGAGTTGCTCTTAGGGGGGGATGTGTCTTTATGCAATGCAGGGTTTTACAATCTTTATATACATATTTTCCCTCTGAATGTGTGGGTGAAAAAACAGTGCAAGATGAACTAGCTGGCCCACAGGACAGCTCTCATCAGGCTACCTAGTGTGGGGGCTGTTGTCTGCATGACTGTAAAGCAAGACAGGCTGTTGGGCCTGAGGACAATCCAGCCTTCCCTGTCAAACCCAGATGGAAGACACAGTCACCTCCTGGCTTCATCAATTCTTCCACTGCCAGCAGGCTGCTGTGCTCTGCAGGCTTCATGGAGGGTGAGAGGACCAGGAACAGTTATCTCTACTGTGCCCAAATGGACAATTCAGGCCAAACTCTGCTTTTAGTAGATTTTTCTGCATAGTTACAGAGCTACTGTACTGCTGCTTCATGTGTTCTCTCAAAACAATGCTATGAAATACAGATAGATGGATAGACAGATAGATTTATAGGAAATGTAGTGTATTAGTGTATTAGTCCTGTTAAATGTAAAGTGACCAAAATCGAATGTCTCTGCAATTTGAAAGTTGCATTTTATATATTGAAATAGCGTTAAATTCTTGTTAATTTGCAAGTCTGTTGTAAAGGCAATTATTTGTCGAAACCTATCCAATAACACATTTTAGTGCAACTTTAACTTAAAGTCTTTTAAGGTATGTCCACCCGAGTTAAAAGCTAAAGATATCTTTTTTTTATTCTTTCTTCTTCTTCTTCTTCTTCAAAACAGCCCAGAATTATTCTGATTCAATGAAATAAATCTGCTTTCCAGCATTTCGGTCCTAAACCATTAAAATGCTCTCATATACAACACTCCATTAGAGTTATGGCTGCATGTTGTATGGGTTTTATTTTGTGGTATCCGAAACAAAGGGGTTTTATACAAGTACAGACCACAAATTTGCTCATTTTCTTTGGAAACCATGCCTCATTTACCTTCCGTTTCACAGTGGCATAAAACATTGTCTCAGTCAATCACATTAAATCCCAGTATTAACCATTGAACTTTGTGGTTGTAAAGTGATACAATGTGGAAAAATTAAGACACTGAATTTAAAGCTGAAATGACAGCTTAAGTCTAGTCAAACCCTTACAAGAGCAACAATAGGTGAATGGATGACTAATAAGGTTTGTTTAGAAATCTCTCCTGTTGTGTTAAATCTGCTGTCCCTGTGGCACGCAATGCACTTTGCAGTAACTCCCAATAACAATGCATTACTAACAGTAATAGGATGCTGGCATGCCACTGAAGGAAAGGGGATTCCTCTGAAAGGAGTCCTTCCAAGAACAGCTCTGCCCATAAAGTTCTGTCTGAATTAAAATGAAGCCAAGGAGAAAACAGGGAACTAGCTCCACCCTTAGTTCCCACTCGGGTTCTGCAGCCACCAAGCTGAGGGCTGTGAGGTGGTGTCCCCTCTCCCACAATGCTCTCTTCCTCCCCTTTTCTTTGTTTCAGAGTGAAGTGTGTGTGTGAGGAGAACACTCATCTCCTACAGCTTGATCCTGGTCCAAATTCAGAATATGCCCTTTGCCAACTGAACTCAGGTTGACAGAAGTGTACTGTAATGTTTTTGCTTTTTGTTATTTACTACCCCCTTATGGCAGCAATGTTTCTATTATCCTCCAATGACAGTTTTGCAAAGTGTGTGCGTGGGGATGACATCATAGCCCTCTCTGACATTGCAGTCACCATCATACAGTAGGTGGTACCTTACTGACCTGGCTTTGCAAACTTGATTCAGGAATGACAGAGACAAGGGGAGGACAAGCAAACATGGGTGTAACCTGCAAAGAAATAACTGCTGGAGATTAACTTCCCTCAGCTGACATTTGGCAAATCGTCATGGAGATAAAACGTATTCTTCTGGTTTGTAAAGAGAGAATCTTTAAGACACCAAACCTCCTGCATTATTTAACTCCGCTTTAAAAGACAGTGTGCCTATGTTACATGATGTGACTTGCAACTTTTAGTATGTGAATCTCCTACACTGAGATTCAAGAACAGTTTGTACAAATGGGAAGAATAACACATTCAAATTCCAGAGTTAGTGCTCTGCACAGCTGCAGATTTGAACCTCTAAATCACCAAAATAAACTGCAATGTGGCGAATAAACCCCCTCTGATTCCAACTGCAGAATAAGGGACATGACATTTTATCAGTGTTTTAAAAAGTGACTCACAATTTAAAAAATCACAAAAATCTATGTCTATGTGTAAAAGTTATAAAACTTTTTTGTACGACAGACCAACAAAATTAAGTACCGAACTGGAAATGTTTTACATCTTAAATCTAAACTGAATTGATAAAAATATTCAGTCCTCTTTACTCTAGAGCGGAGAAATACTGAAATACAATTCAATGAATCAGGTCAAAAAAACCTTAAGTGTGGTTTCACCCCATTGTACAGTAGCAGCCATTCAAAATGGCCCTTCCCAGTCCCAGCAAAATTCCCACCAACTTCAGGCCCTGGAGTGACCCCCTCTTGCTTATTCTTTTTTTACTGTGAATTCAACCTTTCTCTGAATTACAGGGTCTGACCAGAAGATGACGCTTCTCTTTCGATCTTATCTTATTGACAGAAAGAATATTTTGGTACAAAGATGGATGTTTAAAAAGGAATTGAAGGGGGACCAGCCAAGGACCAGTCAAGGATCAACCAAGGACAAGCCAAGGACCAACCAAGGACCAACCAAGGATCAGCCAAGGACCAACCAAGGACCA